GATGTCTAACCCTGTGCACGGGCCAATTTCACGATTCTCACGCCCACCACTTGGTCAAATCTCAACCATTTGGGACAAATTTGTTATTGGGAGAAAGCTATGAACCCGGGGAATCAAATGGAGAGGTTGGGAAAGGATGCTACAGGTAGGAAGAGATGGATGAGTGTGGTGTGATGATGGAAATTGGTGGAGGATGGCAATTATTGGTGGATATGGCCCACTTATCACTCCTGTTTTTCTTTTATTGAACTTCCATGTCGGCCATTGGTCTTATCGGCCATACATAACTGTCCACATGGTGCCCATAACAACAATCCTTCATTTTATATTTTCCTTTCATTTGTTTTTCCACATTATTGCCGTTCCATGTGTTTAAAAGCCCTGTACATGTAGGAATGGAAAGTGTCAGGGACATGTCCGGGGTCGAGGGGGCCCGGCGTCCAGTGTGATGAGCCAAACTGGCAATGACTTGGGCTAGTTGTGTAATGGCCACATTGGGGATGGGTTCGGCATCGTCAGCGGTTGGGACAGTGGGGATGGGAGGATCAGCAGGAGGAGGGTCGACAAAATTGGGGACCTTGGAACTGAGTCCAAAGAAGTGAACGGGGTCTATGGGCTGTTCCGTGGTGTCTCTGAAGTCGGAATCTGCATCTGGTGATCGATTTCTAACAGGACACATGATTGGAGTCGACAGGAGAGGGGTTTCTAGATTAGAGAAGCTGCGAAACTCAACTGGGTTTCTTGCCAGACGACTAGGACCAGGCTGCGAGGGTTCTGGGGATGGTGAGGCAGAGTTGGGAACTAATGTGCATAGTTGCGAACGAGTGCAAGGGGCTTTGGGTGCCATACAAGACGTGTACTAGTCAGGGAGTAATAAAATACTGTCAGAGACCAGATCGAGATGAAGGAATGTCTCCATGGCGGAGGGCTTTGGCCTCAGCGACTTATGCCAGGAGTGCTGTGCCAAGTTACACGTCCGTGCCCTAATTGACTTACTGGCAATGAGAACTAAGGGGGGTCAACTCTAGTCGATTTTATTACTGAGGTGTAACCTATGTACAAGTTAAGTATATATAGTTACAGTGAGGGCAGGCCCATAAATGACAGGGCCGAGTGGAGCAGAGCTAACAGGGTTAAACATTAGCCAATTGAATATTACTGACAAGTTGGGTTATGGGGTTAGCAGAGTGGTAGGCGATAACCCAGAAACAGAAAGGAGGGATAGGGCCAAAGGTGGGCTTGCAGGGCAAGCAAGTGTATTGCCCAGTGGGGGTGGGAGTGCACGAGCAGACATCGGAGCTGCCCGGAAGCCTTCAGGGCTCTGTACTTAGGGAGGCATAGGTAATATATTGAAAAGAGGGGGTGGTGACCATCAAGGGAAGTGGAGGTGGTTGTGGAATACAGGAGCTCTGAGGTTAGTGAAGAAGGAGCGGAGGTAGTCCAGAGAGATTGGAGGTAGTGGAAGTCGATGGCTGTGGGTGGATATGACACCTGATCCCGATCCGACTCCTGGACCCTCATCTTCATCACCTCTGGAGTCCTACCCTATCTATGTCCGCTCTGACATCTACCTTCAAACTGAACATCACTCCTCACACCACACTCCTCCTCTCACTCCCCATCCGTCCCTCTCCTACCCTACCTCCATCCGCTCCGATATTCACCTTCGGACCTAACCTCACTCCTCTCCTTCTGTCACTCTTCTGTCAAACCTCCGCCAAGTTACAACCTTCCGCTGCAGTCCCATACCTCATACTCAGACACTGTCCATACCTTTGCTCCAAGATTCCGTCATAGTTCCAACCTTGGACTTTGACTCCACCTCGGCTTAAGTCCATTGCATTGGTGACCTCATTCTATGTAAACACCATTTCCAACATTTCTCGGACTTTCAACCCCACCTCCATAACCTCCATAAGCTCTGCAACCTCCAAGCTCCACAGACCAAACTCAGCACTTTCGCCGCTGTAGGCGGGATAATCGCCCACATGCAGCGCCGGCTCGGATACCCGTTTCCACGATTAGAAAACCCCTTTTATTCATGCGACAACTCGGTACGGAATTGGTATCTAAAAATAGTGCTAATTCGTACGATTCTGACGATACCAAGAACGTCCCAATCGGTGGAGAATTGACGGAGCTCCGTGTTGGAGAAGTTAGGCACAGCAGGTCATGGGCATGTGCGGGCGTGGGAATCTCAAGCAGCAACCCAGAATTCCAGCCTCACTCGTTCCCACGGCGTCTAATAAATTGGTAAAAATGCCCATTGGCTGCGTAATAGTTCCATTCAGCCACATTTCCAATTTCGGTTCTTAATTCCGTAAATCCGTTGAGATATTGCTTATTTTCTTTTATTTTCATATTTTGCCATCATTTCAGTTATTGATTGATATTCTTTTATTGTTACTGTTACCCTTTTTTATTATTTCACCTAATAAGGTATGCAGGTGCCATATGGTACCAATATTTCCCATCAATTATTCTAAAAATAATTGTTCCTTATATCCTGTACATACCGGATTTTGAAAATTAAGTTCTCCCCTCCCCCAAAATTCTCTAGGATGCGCTAGAGTTGGAGTGAGTGTGTGGAATCCAACAGTAGGAATAAGGGCAACTGTCTAGCCCACAACAAGTGGGTAGTAGATTAGTTGAGCCTGGACCTTGCGGAAATCCTGGAGAACCCACACCGGAGTTAAGGATCGAGTGTAGCAAAGTTTAGTCAAGAAAGTAGAGTTTAGGGAGAGTTGTCCCCCACGAGCTTGGTCGGCATAGAGAGCCGCGAGCCCTCTTTCACCGCTTGTAATGTATCTTTCACAATTTTCCCTCATCCTTATTTGGACTCTGCTTCCTCCCATTTTAGCCAGTTAGTCATCATCCCCACTCCACCTCATCCTCCTGCCCCTCTGGGCTTTGCCCTCCCTATCTCCTTTCGGATGTACCACAGAGTCTAACCCATGACCTTTGGTACCACTCTGCTTCTGTCATCCCCTTTGTCTCTGTTTGAACACCTTTGTTCCATTTTGGACCCTCTTTAATTTCCTTGTGCTTTCATCTCTCTACTATATACAGGTGCTTGTACATACTCGTTTTGGACCTTCAGTCTAAAATCGACCAGAAATGCCCCCTAGAGACTTCCTGCTCACTGCTTCTGAAATTAAGGACCAAATGGACAAACAGCAACGGCACAGTGCTCGGCATGAGTTGCTGAGGCCAAGGTCCCTCCTTGCTAAGTCTCCGGTTCCCCTCTGGAATTGTCTGCCCTCACCTAGTTCTAACAGTTGCCATGTCAGCACTGCTAGACTCCGGTGTGACTGGGAACTTCGTAAGCCCAGACTTCATCTGGAAACATGGGCTTGAGATGACCCCCCTTCCCCAGCCCATCCCAGTGCACAATGTGGATGGGGCACCCAACGAGAATGGGGCCATCATGGAAGAGCTGGAGGCCCTGTTGATGTTTGGCCAACACACAGAGCGGGCCTGCTTTTCCATAGCGAACCTAGGGCAGCAATCCCTCATCATTGGCCATTCATGGTTATTACACCACAACCCAGAGGTCAACTGGGCACAGCAGAAGGTCGTCATGTCCTGCTGCCCCTCCTCTTGCCAGTCACTGCGAGCAGACGTCAGGCAAGCCCTCGAAGTAGAACCTGGCAATGGAATCTATGCCACCATAATCCTGCCAGGGTGGGGACATGACCTAAGGGTGACAACAACACCGTCTCAATGCCTAGCAGAGGAAGCCCAAGACACAGAGGTGAAACCGCTGATCACACATCAACATGAGCTACTGGTTCAGTACTTTTTGTCACTCTAGATGCAACTGTACAGTACATGGCAACTAGGGCTCCTAGCGGATCGGATGATCTGTGGATATCTGCAACCACATCCGAAAATTCACAGATCCGGTTTTGGATTTCCAGTGGATAGTACCCATGGTTTCTAATCCACAGATGGGCGGATTATCTACGGATTTATTGTCACCTACTGTTCTAGACACCCCTCCTATGTTTCTATATTTTTTTTCCTATTTTTTCAAGTCTTAATTGACCACCCAGGCCCGTTATTTCCAAATTAGGCATTTGACCTCCAAGTTTTCCCCATATTTCCATCAGTTCTCCACCAATATGGACAAATTTGATATTGTTAGAAAGCTCTCATCAAGGACATTCTAATTCCGGATCATTTTATCTACAATCCGCGGTTGATCTGCATATCCGCGGATTTCTAACCGCCGGATATGGATTTTATTTCAAACCTCTAAATATCCGCGGATTCTGATCCGGATCCGATCTGATCCGATCCGCTAGGAGCCATAATGGCAGCCGATGGGAATAATAACATGACAAGAAGACTAATACATTTGGGTAATCATAAGCAAGATGTGGGATAGGGGTGATGCATGGCAGAAGATAGTGGTGAGAGAATGTGGGATTTTACCTGCATTCTTCCAATCAACCTGGATCAGCTTACAGCTTCTCTCCTTCTGGCATAGGGGGTCAGGGTAGCCAGATAGGCCATGCCCTGACACCTTCAGGCCCTTGCATACTCAGTGCACCAGAGCATCAGTGCAGCTACTCAGATGGTTGAACGCTATCTAAGAAGGTTGGTTGACCAGCAATCCCCACATACCATTTTATATTCATTGGGTCATGAGTAGTAGGTGTCCTCCGACTGGTATGGTTCGGACCCTGGCTGATTAGCCCGATCAATCAGCAGATCAATCCGATCTTGTAGGAGCCCTAGTTTACAACAACTGCGGGAGGACTCAGGTGAGGTCTTAGCTGATGGAAATGTTGATGGTGACCAAGGCAAAAAGAGTGGCATGTTCGGCCACTTCAGGTGGCAGTCGCTGGTTATTCCCGGGATCAACAGTCGCGTGTTGCGCAGACCAAGGCAAAAACCGGGTTTCACATTGTGCTGATACACTATATATATGGCTCTTCAGACGTCCTCTCAGTCTTCCTTGTGCTCTCACCTGTTGGCCAATGAAGTTCTCAACCATGGTCATTCCCATTTCTGTATTCGTTTCCACTATCACAATGGCCCTTGCTGCTTCTGTTCGTACCAAGCCGAAGGGTCCAGTAAAGCCCGACTCGTACATTGTGTATGTCTAACACACGGCATAGCATAATACTGGCTGACTCATTGCTTAGTGTGCTGAAACCTGGCGAAGATATGGAACATCATATCGAAGGTATCACTCGGATATCCGCCCGGAACCCTGGGTCAGAATTTTCAATCAATCACCGGTATGAAAGTAAGTTGATATTGGGGAATTTCGCCTCGAAGATAGGCTAACTATCGTAGTGCTGAATGCCTACTCTGCACATGTAACTGGAGCATCCCTTTCTCGAATTTTGAGTCGCCCCGAAGTTGAATATGTCGAAGCTGACGCCATAGTTTCCATTTACGATGGCCTCCATGAAATGAATGAGGGGCTTGTGACAGAGTTCAACGATGTCCCAGCCGAAATAAGGGATGACCCAGGCGAACTCCGAGGACGCGCCTCTGGGAAGCCAGTGGAGATTATTGTGATAGATGGCGGTGTCGCTCTTTACCACTCCTGGTTTCTAAACGAGGACGGGTCGACCCGTGTAGTTGGAGGTGCTGTGCGTATCTCTTTATGCACTGTCATACATGTTCACCCATATCTGCTTGTGAGTGCAGGCCGTTGGTGATGGTAACGCTTTGGTAGATCTCAACGGTCATGGCACAATGGTGGCCGGGAGAGCAGTGGGGAACATCTATGGTGTGACGACCGAGGCCACCGTTTTTTCGATCAAGGTTTTCTCCGATTCAGGCACAGCACTGACGACCACGGTAATAGAAGGCATCAAGCTCGCTCTCGATCGATTTGGAATCACTAAATCCCATTCCATCGTAATATTATCCTTCGCCACCGAGTTCGGTTCCATTCTTGATAAGGTTGTCAATTATGCCGTCGGGATGGGTTTACACGTTGTAGTCCCTGCAGGGGACCACAGCAAGAACGTAAAAAATAGTGTCAGTCCTGCTACCGCCAAGAACGCTATCACCGTTGGAGCTCTTGAAAGCTGTGGTCCGACTCGGCTTGCATCATTTTCCAACTATGGACCTTCGGTTGGCTTTTATGCCGATGGCACCGGTATTAGGGTTCCTGAGATCAGCAGCTCGACGGCGTGGAAGATTGAGAGTGGCACTGCGCTGTCAGCTGCATTTGTTGCGGGTGCGATAGCCGAATGGTTACGTCGCCAGAATGATCTGGTGCGGCCTACTCAGCTAAAGTACGACTTAAGGCGCCATGGTATCCAGGACGTTCGGGATCCAACTGGAAAAAAGAAGTGGAGGGTAGTACTCTTCTAATTCTATTGAAATAGAACAGTGCTGCATGACCTGCTTCACAATCTTTCCCCTGTGCTTTGCCCGCTTCTTGTACTCAGTCATTTGGGTTTCTAATTTTTCATTTTCCTGTTACTGTTTAGCAGGTGTGGATGAACACGGTGAACCCTACAAAATGTGAGGGACCTGAACGTCGGCAGAGGCCGGCGATTGAGTTCAAGTGGTTAAGAGACTCACGAAGTCTTAAGATAATCAGAAGTCGCTGAACCAAAGTCGAACTCGATAGTATTACACTAGAGGGTGTAAAATACAAGATCTCTGTCTTTCTATCTACAAAGTGTTCTGGCTTATATGCGATTCTCTATCCATATATAATACTAAAGATAAAGGGAACAATAAAAATAAATTTAGAACCTGCACTTACAACATAGTCTAGTTGTTCTTTGGAGCTGAAGAGCTCGCCCTGGCCACTTCTTCAGTGGTGCTGTCATATCCATCCCTGGCCATCAACTTCCGATCCCTCCGATTCCTCCGGTCTACTTCCACTCCTTCCTCACTAACCTCAGAGCTCCTGTATTCCGCAATCCCCTTGGTACCCCTCGATGGTCACCACCCCCTCCTTTCAATTTATTACCTACGCCTCCCTAAGTATGGAGCCCCGAAGGCTTCCGGACAGCTCCGACGTCCGCTAGCACACTCCCACCTCCGCTGGACAATACACTCGCTTGCCCTGCAAAGCCCACCTTCGGGCCTATCCCTCCTTTCCGTTTCTGGGTTATTGCCTGCCTTTCTGCTAACCCCGTAACCCGACTCATCGGTAATATTCAATCGGCTAATGTCTAAACCCCGTTAGCTCCACTCTGCTCGGCTCCGCCCAGCTCCACCATTTGCAGACCCGCCCTCGCTGTAACTATATATACTTAACTTGTACATAGGTTACACTCCAGTAATAAAATCGACTAGAGTTTACCCTCTTCAGTTCTGGTGGCCAGTTAGTAAGTTAGGGCATGGATGTGTTTACTTGGCACAGCGCTCCTGGCATAAGTCGCTGAGGCCGAAGCCCTCCGTCACGGAGACACTCCCTCATCTTGATCAGGTCTCTGACAGGTGCCATCCAAATGCTCTGTCTGTGGTGCTGCCATTGAAAGGGCATTCATATGGCTGATAATGCTCAAAAGTGAAGGGGATGCCAGTGTTACAAGTTTTGGGGGGGCACATATTCCGTGTTCACAAAGAGATTGTTGGGGTCAATTGGCATGTTGCCTGTGTTTGCAAATGGGTAGGGAGTTGGGGTTGGAGTTGGGTTCCACCACTAGGTCTCGCATTGTCAGTGCATCATTTGGTAGGCCTCATCCCAACATCACGGTATTTGTTTTGTCAGGGCACACCTGCCCAACCCGGGCCCACCCGGACCACTCAACCCGGTGCCCTAACCATCCTGCCCCTCCTTCTCTTTCTTCTGTTGGAGGAAGCACCCTCAGCACATGTATTTACACATGGTTATATAATCTTAGAGTTAACCACTATGTTGTCCAATCACCATTGACCTGGTACTTTTGACATGTGCTCTCTCTTTCCTTCTTTTCTTTTCCATCCTTCCTTGTATCAATGTACCATTGACCTGCAGTGCCCACTCCTGGGCATGCCAGATGACCTGGGTGCATGCCCATCTCCCACCCATGGCAGATGCCCTCAGGATTTCCCATGGAGACACCTGGATGGGTGTGGCTGTGTGCAAGGATGACATGGAATCTGTCAGGGCATGCCCCGGCATGCCCCACCTGACCCCCGCTCCGCTTCCCCCTCCTCTCCTTCTTTCTTTCTTTCTTTCTTTCTTTCCTTCTCTCTCTCTTACATGGACCACCTTTCCTGCTGTTCAATGTACCACCAGCGTGCATGCCCATTTCCCCTCCTGTATCTTACCATCCCTACATCGCCGCTACCACCACCGCACTTGCTGCATACCCACAGCAGGCCCTCTTGGGATCTCCTGTGGAGGCACCCAGAGAACCACGGCTGTGTGCGAGGGTGACGTGGCACACCCCACATGACCAATCCCGCATGTATATAATAACAGCTGGAGTGGGAACCAAAGAAGTAGCCTTCTTCTCACATTCCCACTTCAGACTAAGTGGTCGGGGACGCTGTAGGCGGGATAATCGCCCACATGCAGAGCCGGCTCGGATATCCATTTACACCATTCAAAAATCATCTTCATTCGTTCTATAATTCGATACAAACTTGGTACCTAAAAATACTCCTAATTCCTACGAATCCGTCGATGTCAAGATCGTCCCAATCGGTGGAGATTTGGTGGAGTTAAGTGTTGGGGAGGTTGGCCATGGCGCGGGTCACGGGATCTGGTCATGTGCGGGCGTGGGAAGTTCAATTTAGGCAAGCGGGAAGTCAGAAAAGCATGCTTCACACATTCCCAAGGCATCAAATAAATTGGGAAAAATGTTCTTTAGCCGCATAAAGGTTATTCCCAACCACATTTCCAGTTTCAGGTACTAATTTGGTGAAATCATTGATAAATTCTCGATTTTCTTCATATTTTCACATTTTTACCATCATTTTGATATATTGGATGATATTCTTTTATTCCTTTGATGCCCTTTTCAAATATTTCGCTTACGATGGGGTCCAGGAGCCATATGGCGCCAATATTTCCCATCAATCATTTCTAAAAATGTTTATTCTTTATAATCCTGTACATACCAGGATTGAAAATGAAGTTCTCCCCTCCCTAATTTTCTCTAAGGCGCTAGGATGCGTCAGAGTTAGTGTGAGTGTGTGTGGAATTCCTACAGTAGGAGTAAGGGCAGTTGTCTAGCCCACAAAGAGTGGGTAGTGGATACTGAGCCCGGACCTTGCGGAATTTCCGGAGAATTTCCAGGAGTTTTTGGATCGAGACCAGTGGAGAAAAGGGTTTTAGTGGAGAGTTTCCCCCACGAGCTTGGTTGGCACTGAGAGCCGCTAGCTCTCTTGCAACGCTCACCCCACAATGGGATCGCCACTATGCACAGCTGCTACTTGTCCCACCGAGTCCCGCACACCGGGACCTCGCCGCTTTCGGAGCTGTCCCTGACAGAATCCTCCATGTTGTCATATCCATCCACAGCCACCACCTTCCATCACCTCTGGTCTTCCCAGATTGCCTCCACTCCTTCATCTCCAACCTTGGAGCCTGTCATATCCATACATACCTGATCCCAATCTGACTCCCGGACCCTCTGCTTCACCACCTCTGGAGTCCTACCCTACCTCCATCTGCTCCGATATCCACCTTCAGACCGAACATCACTCCTCTTCTTACTCCTCTCCTCCGTCCCTCTTCTGCCAACCTCTGCCAAGTGACAACCTCCTGCCACCATCCCATACCTTGTACTCAGACACCATTTGACCCCACCTTGGCTTAAGTCCATTGCATTGGTGACCTCATTCTACGTAAACACCATTGCCAATATCCCTCAGACTTTCAACCCCACCTCCGCAACCTCTGTAAGCTCCACAACCTCTGAGCTTCATGGACTATACTCAGCACTTTCACTGCTTGTAATGTATCTTTCACACTTTCCCCTCATCCTATTTGGACTACTGCTTCCTTCCATTTTAGCCAGTTTGTCATCAACCCCACTTCACCTCATCCTCCTGCCCCTCTGGGCTTTGCCCTCCCTACCTCCTTTCAGATGTACCATAGAGTCTAACCCATGACCTTCAGTACTGCTCCGCTTCCATCATCCCCTTGTCTCTGTTCGGATGCCTTTGTTCTGATTTGGACCCCCTGTCAGAGACTGGATGTGGGACGAAGGAAGCATCTCCATGGCAGAGGGCTTTGGCCTCAGTGACTTAGACCAGGAGCGCTGTGCCTAGTTACACATCCATGCCCTAATTTACTAACTGGCAACAAGAACTTGAAAGAGGGAAACTCTAGTCAATTTTATCACTAGGTGTAACCTATCTACAAGTTATGTATATAGAGGGTGGGCCCATGAATGGTTGGACCAAGTGGAGCGGAGCTAAGGGGGTTACATGTTAGCCAACTGAATATTACCAACAAGTTGGGTTACAGGGTTAGTGGAGTGGTGGGCTATAACCCAGAAATGGAAGGAGGGAATGGTCTGAAGGTAGGCTTGCAGGGCAAGCAAGTGAATTGCCCAGCAGAGGTGGGAGTGCACCAGTGGACATTGTAGGGGTGGTGGTCACAGACACCCCAGAACAGGCAATATATCGGGTCTCACATGCAGGATAAAATGTTAGGAAAACATACAGTGGAAAGTTGGCTAGGAATTAGGTGATGAGGTTATAGTACGGATGGTAGAGGGCATCGAGGCAATTCCAACGCACGTTACGCGAAGAAAATTGGTGAGGTATTGACAGAGATATGTGGATTCCAGTTGTGTATCGCGATGCATGTCACATGTTCATTGCGCACGCGTGGGAAATGGGGTGCACAGATGGTCCCTGGCATCCCTCAGGCTTCAGAAAAATGGGAATAAATATTCATTGTTCATGGTATGACTGGTCGGGAGGATGTGCCAATTTTGGGACCATGGCGACATGTGGTTGGAAAGTTAGGGAAAATGTGCCGGATATTCCCCACCTCAACGCTATCTCACTCAATTCTCCATCAAATTGGATGCAGTTTGTTGCGTTGGATAGCTGCAGTTTAGGCGAGTTGGTTGACATGAGGGGAGCGCAGTTGTGTCCAGTGGTTTGGGCTGGAGATGCAGGTTAGGTTTTCCGTGGCCACTTTCTATTGTTCTATATTTTGTTGCTTGTGATATTGTGTTTCCTATTCTATTTTCTCTTGCGACGTGACCAGATGAGTCATATGGAACATGCTGGAAGCTCGCAGATGCGTTTGTAGGGTCGTTTGTATATAATATTAGCTAGTTACATTTGTAACAGAGATTTCCCCTCTGTTACGTTTAGATCTGGTCACCAAGGTGTGGTCAAGTGCAGGGAGGCAAGGTAGCCTCACAGTGTCCTCAGGGAGATCCACACTGAGTTATAGGATGCCG